GACTCTAATAAGGTAATTCACACTCAGATATTATTCCTCTTAAAAGGCATTTTTAAGATGACAGGGTTGGAGCCCAAACCAAAGGAAACGAAGCTATAATGAAATTTTGACACTGAGGCAGGCTGAAGAGGAAGGTACTTTTGTACAAGGCAAGGCTATCTTGGTATCTTCATATCACATTAAATAAATAGCACTTGTATACTTAAAGACCTCCCTGAAAGATCTTAGGTGTAAACTCAGACTAAGCAGATGGTCCTTACCCTACATCCATTTAGCATTTAAAGATAGGGATATATACAAATGGCCTAGACAAATAATCTCTATTTTTCCAAGTTTATATAGGGTGAAGAGTCTAGTGGAATCTGCTGTTGCTTTCTAATTCATTAGGGAAGACTTCATAAAGAATGTGATATTACAGGAATTAAATGAATAATTTTTATCACACAAATCAAGGTTTACTTTGTGAGGTGAAGTACCTAGTACAAACATTATTTTGCAGATAAGGAAGTAGAGTCAACTGAAGTTAAATGACTTGTATAGCTAGTAACAGACAAAGAGGGGATTTGAACTCAGGTTTCCTGAATCTAAGATTTTCTATTATAGCACATTATCTTGCCTGAAAGTAGGAAGAATGTACACTCCTTCAGAGCAGAGATTCTTTTGGGAATTGGTTTTTGGTTTTTGGTTTTTTTGTTTTGTTTGTTTTTGTTTTTGTTTTTTTTTTTTTTAATCAGATAATAGATGCTACCAGTCTGGATAACATGGCAGCTTTCCAGCAAGGTAACTGGAGATGGGAGGTGGCTACCAGATCCTAACCTGGATTCTTCATCTTATCAAATGCCCTCAGGATGAAGCTAAGTAAAATAATCAAACTGATATCTAGGTTCTAAACCCAGGGAAATTCAGAGAAGTGTCATAAAGAGCATGTTATTTATATCCCCAGCACCTGGCATAATATTTGGCATGGTGGGGAGGGGGAGGAATTGGTGATCATTAGCATGTTGCAAGGGCAGAAGCTAGACCTAGAACCTTTGGAGGAGGGGCTATCCCTTTCCTGGAGTGACCATACCCACCACAGTGTCCTCTGCACCATTCACCACTTCAGCTGAATTTGCCCTGAGTGTGAGCGTGATAATTCCAAATGACAGCTCTTGTTTTCACCAGGAAGTTGTATTCACTATTGCTATTTCAGTAAAAGGGTAGATTGTTCTTAGAGTCTAGTAGCTACCATCCATGTATTAAAGATTGTGCAAATGTAAATTAGCCTGGGAATTTGGATACCTGGGTTTTGATTTGGACAGAAGCTTTCCACTTGTGGAGCCTGGACCCAGTTACTGCCTCTCTGTGCTTTCATTTGCTCGTCTGTTAAACGAGGAGGATGGACCCGATGATCTCTAAGGTCATTTCCAGGTCTCACATTTGGGATTCCATGAATCATTAGCATCATTGATTCTTCTTTGTTATGACAGTAATCAGTAGTTCCTTCCTGGATTACTTGAAGTGTTTTTGAAAGGTTTGTGGCTTATTCCTGATGTAGATAAATGTTTTTAGAATCCTTGCTTTTGCCTTTCATGAATGAAAAGGTGATTGAACAAAGCACGCATTCATCATTCCGTTTATCGCCCCGAAACAAGTGTAATTTATAAACCAATAATACTTTGGGGAGTGTTATACACATGTTTGAAAAGAATGGCTCAAATTAATGCAGGGCTGATATGAAGCTAATCCAGCCAGCCCCAGAGGAAGTGCAGGAAGCTAGACCAAAGTGGTGATGTGGATAAGTTGTTTTTTTTTTTCTTTTGTTTTTTTTTTAATCAGATAATAGATGACACTAGTCTGGGTAACATGGCAGCTTTCCAGCAAGGTAACTGGAGATGGGAGGTGGCTACCTGATCCTAACCTGGATTCCTCCATCTTATCAAAAGCCCTCAGGATGAAGGTAAGTAAAAGAATCAAATTGTTATCTAGATTCTGAACCAAGGGAAATTCAGAAAAGTGTCATAAAGAGCATGTTAGAAGGCCTCCATCATTTTAAGTACTTTTCAAGAGAATGTGAATGTTACCATATTTGAAAAGTTTAGAATAAGACCATGCAGAGATTACTATGATAATGATGTGGAAAGACTATATCTTAGAAATTTAAAGAACTATATAAAAATTCTTTTTATTTTAACAGATATTTATTAAGTACCAACTGCACACAGAACATTATGTTAAGCCCTGGGGGAGAAACAGAGTTTAAATTATACAGTTGCTGGCTCTGTAGAGCTTATACTCTAGTAGGAGGACATTATGACAACACCATATAACTAAAATACATAATATTTCATGAGAAGTGCAAAGCACTGGGAAGAGCTGGAGGGAAACAAAATCTCTCATTAATAGGTAACCTTTGAATTGAGCACTCAATCAGTTTTTTCCTCTTCCCAGAATATATTCCTGTTTCTCTTCTGCCTCTCCAACCAAATACTAGTTTTTTTTTTGTTTTTTTTTTCTGGAAGTCTTAGGGGAAGACCCCTTCCTACCTGAAGCTTTCCCTAATTACTCCACCATTCATAGGTCTCATTCTGCTCTATATTACAACACAGTACTAAATAATTGAGCCTTCACAACAATATGCATAGAGACATCACCTACTCAGCAACCATATCTACCCCAGATATAGCCAAGAGTCAGGTAGAGTGTTGATAGTGATATACATTTGATTACTTTTTGGGTTGAAACTAGCTCTACTAAAGATGTTTTTCTTAATCAATTCAATTATGTATTAGCTCATGTTTTATTCATTTATTAATCTTATATGTGCTTTCAAGTTTCAAAAAGAGAATTCTATTTATAATCTGATAGTATCCTGCCAACCATTTGGATGCTCCTTTAATATATCTGGCATATAGTACATACATACATAATTTAATAAATGTTTGACAACTTCCACTCAGCTTTCTTAAATATAAATTGATGAAAAATGTTCATAAGAATAAGAACTCACATGTATATATCACGCAATGGGCTCCTGGTCATGCTCAGACCTCCCTTAATTTACTTGGCTGAGGTAATGTCTCTACTAAAAGACTCTAAGGAAGTGCCTTGGAGGAATTCTGGCACATATGTGGACATTCTGTAAAGGGTTCTGATCATTAAACCACGAGTTGAAGAGAAAGCTTTTTTGTTTGGCTTCTGAGGCATTCCAAAAGCTTCATTAACTTTTAGCTGCTTCTTCTTTGGTCTCATTCACTGCTTTGGCTATTATTTGGTGGCTCCTTCGCTCATGTGATCTGGTTAGAGAGTGTGCTGTAATAGGAAAGAACTTAGGAAGGAGCATTTAAGAGCTCTTTGAGAGTAGAAACTGACTCATCTTTTATCTGTGAATCCTCCATGTCAAAGTAGGTATTCAATAAATGCCAACGATTATAAATAATTCAAAGAAGCACAAGAGGACTTATGTGAACTGATGAAAAGGGAAATAAACAAAAAGAAGAAAACAAGATGCAAAATGGAAGATTATTTTCATATATGTAGAAAGAATAACAAAAAAAGATTCAATTATAAAATGCATTATAAATTGCAACAAAAAAATGCAATTATAAAGACCAAGTAGGGCCCTAAGAGAAGTTTAGAAGATAAACTTTCTTCATTTCTTAGCCATGGTTGGGAACAAAGGGTATATATAGAACATTAAATAGATTGTCAGACTGGCTTTAAGTGTTGGTCATTTTTGATCAATTTTTTTTTCTCCTGTTTTATCTTTTGTTTTGAGTTCTTGCTTGGTGGAGGTTTTATATATTCAGAAAAAAAGAGAAATTATATATATAATATATATGTATGTATATACCACATACACATATACATACATATGTGTGTGTGTGTGTGTGTGTGTGTGTGTGTGTGTGTGTGTATAGGATTTGGAGTCAGGAAGACCTGACTTTGAATCTTGCATCAAATGTATATCAACTATATAGCCTTTATCAGGTGACTTAATTTCTCTCAGTCTCAGTTTCAATGGCTGTAAAGGAAAGATAATAACAGTTCCCACCTCATAGGGTTATTGTGATGAAATAATGATATCATATTGTAAAGTTCTACATAAATATTAACTTTTATTATTATAGATTATAGAATGCAAAAATGTTTTAGGGACATAGGATTATAAATATGAAGCTGAAAAGGATTTGCAAAAGCTCTCCTAGTCTCAGCATCTTGATTTTTACAAATGAAAACAGTTTCTTTACTTCAAGTACATTTTTTTTAGATGAGGAGGATTCTTTTGCCATGGTTTTCATCAGTGTGGATAATTTTGCCTTCTCCTTGCAGATTGTCCTCTTCTCTACAGTCTTAGAAAACTGAGAAGAAAATGAGTTGCCCATGGCCACACAGCTAATATGGTTCAGAGGCAGGACTTAAACTTAGGTCCTCCTGAATCTAAGTTAAGATTCCAACCACTATACACATCTCTGACACTCTCAAATGCAAAACTTAATATAAATTTGTGATTTTGTTGGCACCACTTTTTGCAACTCAGGACAGGGGTGTGCTGGAGCTAGTTCACATCATATCATGAAAACTGATTGTTAAATTTTCACGTGAGCATCTGCACCTTGGAAATAGGCAAACACTAAAAATTAGGGCTTTATTATTGTTGTTGTTGTTGTTGTTGTTGTTGTTGTTGTTGTTGTTGTTGTT